AGATGTGGGGCATGTTGATGTGAGGGGCAGGTTGATGTGAGGGTCAGGTTGATGTGAGGGTGAGGTTGATGTGAGGGGCAGGTTGATGTGAGGGGCAGGTTGATGTGAGGGGCAGGTTGATGTGAGGGGCAGGTTGATGTGAGGGGCAGGGTGATGTGAGGGGCAGGTTGATGTGAGGGGCAGGGTGATGTGAGGGGCAGGTTGATGTGAGGGGCAGGGTGATGTGAGGGGCAGGTTGATGTGAGGGGCAGGCGGTTGTGCAGCCTTCTTGTCTTCACACTCTCACAGGAACTACAGGCCACAGAATGAGGCAACAGTGATGAGAGAAAACCATGAACGTCTGCGAGTGGTTTGAAAAAAAGGGGAAGACGTCGAGTGCTGCACAGAGAGGTCTGCAGAGGCTGCACGGTCTACAGACGTCTGTGCTGCACAGAGAGGTCTGCAGAGGCTGCACGGTCTACAGACGTCTGTGCTGCGCTGCTGACATGGAGGTCATGTGACTGGGTTTACCTGAGGATTAATGTCTGACAGGAAAGTTGGAGAAGGAAACTGAAACATTTGTGTTCCTGCTGTAGGAGCTCAAAGGTGATTGGCTGTGGCAGACCCCGACACTGCACAGGAAGTCATGTGACTTCACTGGATTTCACTGCCAGTGTCCTGGCAGATTAAACTAAGCTCAGGTTGGAACAGTGATGTGATGATGAAACACTTCATTTCAACATCCTGAACCAACAGCAGGGCGGCGCTGATGCTCAGCCACCTGAGGGTCTGCAGTAACGAACTGAACCCAAATCCCTCCTCAGATTAATCACCTTCTACTCTAGTTATTACAAGCGATTCCCGAAATATTTGTCCTTAATTCGAGGTGGAGAACGTTGGTGTTTCCCACAAACAAAACCCCGTCGTCATGGTTTCAATAACTGCTGGTTCTTTCTTCTTTTCTTCTTCGTGCCTTTACAGAAACGCTCAGAGTATTTTATGGTCTGTTTTTTACAAGCGATTCCCTCCTGGAGAATCCATATCACCCAGCCCATATCACCCAGCCCATATCACCCAGCCCATATCACCCAGCCCATATCACCCAGCCCATATCACCCAGCCCATATCACCCAGCCCATATCACCCAGCCCATATCACCCAGCCCATATCACCCAGCCCATATCACCCAGCCCATATCACCCAGCCCATATCACCCAGCCCATATCACCCAGCCCATATCACCCAGCCAAAATACCCAGCCCATATCATCCAGCCCTATAACCCCGCCCATATACCCCCACCCAATATCACCCAGCCCATATCACCCAGCCCATATCATCCAGCCATATCACCCAGCCCATATCACCCAGCCCATATCATCCAGCCATATCACCCAGCCCATATCACCCAGCCCATATCATCCAGCCCATATCACCCAGCCCATATCATCCAGCCCATATTCCTTCCTAACAACATGTGTACAGTACAGTCTTGTTGTTTTAGTTCACTGAACTGTTTGTTGTTTTAAACGTTGACTTGACTTGATGTTAACGCCCCCCGGTGGTTGGTGTAGATGTGCAGCAGTGACTCAGCCCCTCGTACACAGGTCATTTCTCAGTAATGATTGTCTTATTTACAGTGTAGCGCACCCTGCTGGTGGACACACCCACAGCTGTTTTTAGGTATTTGGAGGTGACTGGTCAGTCTGGCCGGTCTGTAATTGTTGAAATAATCACAGACTCATTTCTCTCACATCGTCATTGTAATATTTTCCAGTGTCTGGTTTGAAGGTAACGCTGTATCCTCATTTACCCCCCTCCCCTGCCCCCCCCTCC